GCTTATGGAAAATGCCTAAGGAGTTTTTTTTACTGTCTGCCCCCCTAACACAGTTCCATTACTGGCAACGCCACATGTTCTGCATCATAGCTGTGTACAAAGAGGGAGTTCAAAGGTATTTACCTATATTTCCCTAATAAAACTGAATTGAACAAAACATAAACATTTTAGGAGGTGCTCACATACGGTTTGCCTACTTATGGGACAGCAACATGTAAGGAAGCTCAAGGCGAAGCCGGGCTTCCGCGCTAGTGGTTAATAAATCTGGATACTTATATCAAATATATTACCTAATGAATTACGCGGCAGCCCTTCGGCTGCCAACTTTTGTAAGCGGACGAAATCAGCGTCAGATAGGAAATAATTTGACATCTTCACGTCACGGCCCAACACAGAAAAAGTGAAAGTATTTCGCGCCTTCCCGTTAATGTATCAAGTTTATGCTCATAGTTATCGGTACGGCAAAAAAATTTGGTCATACAAATTTATTACTGCATTTTGTGGCACAAAACATTAAAGAATAGTGAAAAAATATTTTTAAAACTGGAATCGTTCCTTGTTTCCGAAATTAAATGCAATTCCTTAAACCTGAAGTCACTTCCATCTGAACAATTTTAAACAACATTTTCCGGTTCTGGAAGGAATATGTTCTATACTTTTTTAAAATTGTCTTGGAGTTCATCCATAGTACAATCCACATTAATAAAAAGTTTGATGCTGCCATAGGAAAGCATAGGAAACTCCTTCGATATGAGACTACTCCCAATTTCGACAAAATTAATGCCAACTTATCGTACTAAAATGGCGACTTTACTAACTAAAAGGCTTTCTCATGATTCAATCCACTTAGTGAATCAAAAAAATGTGACCAAATATGTGCTTGACTACACAGCCAAATTTCGTCATAAACGTTGCATGATTTTTGACCCATACTATATTTATATACTCAACCAGGAATGTCCGAACACCGATCCAATAGGCTTCCGAAATAAACAAAGTTCACCTGGTCGCTAGAGGTGCCGAAACGGATGACCACCTGCCAGGCCGATGCCGGCTAAGTCATAATAGTAGAGAGTAATGACAGACTTTGGGGGGTGACTTGATACAGAACTGTTTCGGGCTTATTTGTCTTCATCCAGTCAAGCATAACCCTAAACGCCAGCTGGGTCGGACAAAACAAATATACGCACTCACAGACGGCGCAGCTGGTCCACCACTGGGGTCTACCAGATGGGTCATAAGCACTTCATCAAACCGCAGTTCATCAGCGCCTCGCCACACGTGAACTTTGTTTAGTTCGGAAGCCTATTTGATCGGCGTTCGGACATTCCTCAGTGAATATATACCTGGTCTGCAGTGACAGCAAATGACAGGTGGCAAGGCGCCGAGAAACTGCAGAATATTATCGACAAAGACCAGGGAGGCTAGGGTGGCCATCTCTGGCTTATTAGCCGTCATCACTTGGTCATACCCGACTCAATTGTTGCCCCAGAAATTGGTGCCTTGCGGCTCAGGCTCGAGTTTTAGCCCCAAAGGCACCATAGCCGGACGAGTGTGTCCTTTAATTGATCGGTGTACGCCGATCTGCCAATATGTATATATATTGCAGTCCCTTCTAAATACCGGCTTCTGACCAAGCTTTTTTATGACTACCTGACGAATGCATACCCTCTAACAAATGGCTACTTAAATAATGCTAATCTTTGCATTGATTTTCAATTCCACATAAATTCTAATGGATTTTAAATGGGTTTATTAATTAAAACAATATTTTTTAGAAAACCTACTTGATAAATGACACTAGACTGCCCATTTTCATCCAGTCGGTCTTTTGTTTGTGTAATCTGAGAACGCATTGTAGTTGTTGGATGACAGGCGATAACCATGCTGAGCAGCGATATATTTCGTTGCTTCTGATACGTACTTTGTGTTCGGTAGAGGGTGCCAGAGTGCCGATGACTCTCTTCTGTTCGTTCCCCTTTGGCACGTACGGAGGCAGCGGCTGACGAAACTGTTTGGGTATCAAATCCCTACTAGATGGTCCCGAAACTGCCGTAGTTCTCGCACTCGTCCCTCAGGATCAGTTCAATGTATTTTACCCTCTGGAGGAGTGCTCTAATGCAGATGCGTTTATGCGCCATTGGGCGGTTGCTATGGAAATTGTTCATCTGGGTTTTGTTAGTCGCCTTTCTATACACAGTGATCCGGAATAAAAACCCAAGCATTTCTCTTAGCCGAATAGGCCTCAGCAGGATATAATGCTGACAGTCTGGTGGTCTCCTTAAGTGTTATCCACTGCGGTTTTCTCGTAACGAACAGGAGCATCGACGCAGAAATTTACTGCAAGGAACTTGAAGAAAGGAATTTTCACTTGGTAAAAATGAGACCTGCGCTAGCATAACACTGACAGGATAAAACCAGATGAATTCCATGACCTTAACCACGCCTACCATATTATTCCATATTATTCTTCAAGCATCTAAACATTTAAAGCAACTTTCAGGAGCAAAACTGAGGTGAAAGGTGCATTCAAAGATTTCTTAGCAGCAAAGCCAATTGAGTTTTACCGATGAGATGTAAGTGATCTTGTTCCTCGAAAGCAGCGAGGTTCAAAGACTATGCTTTGACAGATTTTAACATACATAGTGTTGCATTTCCAAGGAGAAATGTTTGTTGCCGAAATTAGCAACTATTTTTCTAACAATGTAATCTGTACCGCCAGCGAAAAGCCTCATTGCAAGTTTCAACTTACACAGTGGACAGATCTGGATTCTTCAAACTTACTTGGGAAGGTGGATACCGAGGCGAGGGCTTGGAACGTCACCAGTAATTAGTTCTTTTGACTGCTTTTTTCAGATTTTCGGATTCGACTTGCTGCTGGTAGAACCTGACTATCGACCGGTGCTGCTCGAAGTGAACAGCAGTCCAAGTCTGCGGATTGACTGCATGCGGCCGCTGGTGCAGCCCAGTAGCTGCAAACACGGCCTTAATCCCGCCATCATGCACTCATCCAAGTATGCGGCCTTCTCACGCAGTCGAGTGGATGAGCAAGTGAAGACTGGCTTGCTAAGGGCTACTCTCAGTCTGATTGGCAGTCGTCTACTCTTTGAGCGGATGAGTATGGACTCACCGGAGAAGGCATACGCCTTCTTGAATGCCTGCGGCTACCAGACGCCGGCTATTCCGATGGAGCCTAAGACAGCTGAGACACCGGTAGAGGCATTGGAGATTGCGAAAAAGCCTCCCTCCAGGGGTAGTTCAGAGAAGTGAGTGCAAAGGCTTGTGTATACGTGTGTTTCTTATGCCCTCCATACTACCAATCAATTCAAAGGATGCATTGTATAGTAGATTCCCTACTTCATGAAACGTCAACCGAAATGCGTTTACGATTCGAACATATTCATTAATTATGGTTTCATTAATGTTTATCAAGATAATTTAGTCCCGACAGGTTTCTGGCTTTTGGACGAGTATCATCCTGACTGCCTGTAAAAAATATATTCTGTAAAAAATTACTACTCAAGTGCTATGCATTTTTCTCATTGTTTTTCGCGGCACTTCTAAATTCAAATGTATTTTACAGAAAACATCAACAAAAATATTTTTTCCCGTACTCGTTTTGTAGCAAATTTTGCCTTACTCAAAGATTATACTCGAAGAAAGTGTATCTTTCTGTTGCAAAATAGCTCTGAACTTTACAGTTCGTTGCATTTTAATTCAAGATTTCCAATCTATATGCTGTATATTTTATCTCTAAGGAAAAGTAAATACTTCTCTACGGCAGGGGTCGGCGACTTTTTTAACTCAGAGAGCCAAGAAAGCAAATATTTGGAAATATATTTCAGTGACAGCCATATAATATATTTTAAGGTTAAAGTAAATTAAATCTGAGTATAATGGACATCTGGATTTATTCTTTTAAATAATGTTCTTTTAATATCCATTGTTAATGGACTTCTGGTGCTGCATTGATTCGCTGAAAGCTTTGTAGTCTGTTTGTTAGTTGGCGAGGTTAAGCTTCATGCAAACGTTGATGCTTTCATCCATTAGACGTGACCTTGCGGTGGATTTGATGTATTTAAGAGGTGAGAATGACTGCTCACATGCATACGTAGATCCAAACAAGGTCAATACAGCAATACTCACACGCTACAGTGTGTGGTGTGTGACAGAAAGGGTGTTCCACGTTTTGATTATCAGCTGGTCTTCGGGTTCAAGTTTTTTAATTTCTCTCCATATGTGCTAGGTGGCCAACTACCCTTTATGTCGTACGATTCTTTCCAAATCTTCATTGAGTGACTCGAACTTATTCACCCACATTTCTGAGGCCTTCGGGTTAGCCACGTTTCTTCAAAATCTCTAACGAAGACACCAGGAATGTAACTTAGGTCGGCTATGTTCAGTGAACACTCGGCTGGATGGGTGACGAGCTGAAAAAGGCGAGTTTGCTCACGGAATTCACCAAAGCGAGCTTTGACCGACTGAAGAAGACTAAATGTGAAGCCAGCTAGCTGGTAGAGATCAGCGTTTTGAGTGGGTTCACTTACTGTGCATGTACCTTTATATTGTATCAGTTTTTCAAAATGTAGTAAACGATTTGTTTCTTGTGGACCCTTTTATTGGCAGAACAGTAAGACTTTCTTCGTGCAGTATATCACCAGAAGCATATCTTAAAATCGCGCTGAACTGCACCAAATGGCTTATTTCTGCTGACTCACCCAAAGCCAAGGAAAAGAATGGCGCTGCATTTATGCATTCCACTTGCGTTTCCTTCACGTGGGTTGCCATCATGATGGTACGCTCATAAACAGTTTTTACCAACACAGGCATGTCTTGTGTCCCTTTGATTATCTTGTCTTTGTTCAGAAGATCATCAAAAAGTTTATTGGCTGCATCCAGCATGAACTTTTTTAACATAATCGCCATCTGTGAATTGTTTTCCGTTCCTCACTATTGCTTAAGATCAAGCAAAGCTTGCGGAGTTATAGTTACCTTGCTGGGTCCATACGCGGAATTGTTTCTGGCTGGCTTGCACCCTGCTCATTAGCTCTTGGCATGCTTTGTTTCTGTTATCTCCCGCCGGGTAGTTTGATGCAAAGTTATCATGGCATGTGTTGAAGTGGTGCTTTACATTCGACCGTTTCATTGATGTTATCTTGTCATTGCAAATAAGACACACCGCATAACCTGCTCTCTCCCCAAGGGCCAATTCTTCGGCCAATTCGTCCTGAAATGTACGATACTCCTCATCTCTTTTTCTTTTCGTCCTCTTCTTTGTTGCAGAGGTTAACTTTGGTCAAATGAGATAGAGGGTGTGTGTAGTGGTCAGGGATGTGTAATCTACTATAACCACTACACTAAGAGTATTCCGCCTGATAAAAGAAAGCAGTCAGATGTTAGGAACGATTTATTAGTACACAAGGCCAGTTTCCGCGAATTGACTATTTGCTTGGGTGTGATAAATACGTCCGTCTGGGGAGCATAAACACAAGGGACTATGGGTGACAAGGCAGGCTGGCCTACGCGCGTAAGATAGCCTTGTCTGCCAGCGTGTCCTTAAATAAGCTGAAGTCAAGTGTGGGGACTGTCGTGCTTCAATAGAGCGTCTGTTATTTAGCGAGCTTGTCGCGACCGTTGGGACGCAGGAGAAAAGGAAAGCAGCTGCTGTCGGCTAGTAGGAAATGGAACACTGAAACAACTGCAAGTTCAAACCTAGGGGGGCCGAAACGCCAGAGATTGGTCAAGATTAAATTGATTCTAATACACGTCTCGGCAGGGGCACGTCATTGGAGGGACCAAAACCATCGAATCTGAAATTCCTGGTTCCAGTTTTATCTGAAAGAGCCAGATGCAATCATCAAAAGAGCCACATCTGGCTCGGGGGCTATATGTTGCCGACAGTTTTTCTCCTTAAATCTCTCAAATGGCATACAAACCCCTAGACT